TGGGTCCCTTACTTCTTCATGTTGTAGTTGTGTTTGTTCTCTTTCATCTTGGTCGTCCGTACATAATATGTTCTCGAAATAATTGGCCCACCTTCTTAATTTTTCATCTGTTCCACCTAACAGATTCCCTTCTTCATCTTTATAATATCTTGATGTGGTTTTGTACTGGGTTCGGTCTCGTTTTATTTTTTGGTAGAAATTCCTGACTTGTTTATGTAAAAAATCTTCTTCAATACGAACTAGTTTCTGCTCTAAACTTGACCGCTTCTTCCTTCTACAGATCTTCTTTGCTTCCCGTCTTTTTGTGGCATAAGCTTTTTTATGCTCTTCATTATTTCTTATTATGCTATTTATTCTAGCTTTATTTCGGTCACTAATGGCTTTCTTTCAATCCTTATTATACCAATCCGTTTGTTTACATTGTCTGTTTCTTGATAATACTGAGTCGGCTGCTTCTTGAATGTTTTCTTCTAGTTGTACCCATCTGCTTTCTATATCATTTACTGTTGTATGGCGTTTCAGTTTCTCTTCAATTTACTGCCTGAATTTTTTCTTAACTTCTCACTCCTGAAGTAGTGCACCGTTATATCTTTTTATTTTTTTACAACTAGTGTTATTAATTGTAGGTATTATTTGCTCCATTTTAACTTTAAACAAAAAGTGGTCCGAATTTGCATCAGCACCTCTATAACTTCGGCTATCTTTTATGGCTCTCATATGTTTGACTTCTATTAGTAAATGATCTATTTGGTTTACTGTTTGTTCATCTGGTGATACCCAGGTACCTTTATGAATTTCTTTGTGATCAAAATAAGTCCCCATAATTCGCATATTGTGTTCAAAAGCAAATTTTTTTACTCTTTTTCCATTCAGATTACTGTCTCTATGATTACTTTTCCCCCTGTTATTTGTTTGTATACATCCTCCCTGACAATATTGGCATTCAAATCTCCTACAATTATTTTTATGTCATGTGATGGCATTTTGTAAAACATATGCTCTAATTGTTCATAAAAGCTATCTTTAACGTCTTCATCTGTATTTTCGTCTTCAGACGTCTTGAAGACGTTAAATACTTTCGTATTTAACGTCTTCATTTGTATTTTCTGTTGGTTCATGCACATTTATAAGGGTTACTTTTCTATATTTTCCTCTTATTCTTATTTTACATAATCTACTTGTGACATGTCATGAGAGGGCAAAAATACGCATTATTACAACTTATTATGCAGGGCAAAATCCGAGGAAAGCGAAATGTGGGAAGACGAAGAATATCCTGGCTTAAGAACTTAAGGGAATGGTTTGAATGCAGTAATGCAGAACTTTTTAGAGCGGCAGTCAACAGAGTCCGCATAGCCATGATGATTTTCAACCTTCGATAGAAGATGGAACTTAAAGAAGAAGAAGCTTGTGACTGCCTCAAAATCTATTACCAGATTGGCAAATGTTTTCTTTATAAAAAATCCCACCCCAAATACACGTTCATTGTCTCCACTTTTGAAAAACACGTAATTTCTCACATCCATGGTGAAATTTCCTTCTTGTTTAGTTTCTTGTATAGCTGCAATATCTATCTCATATTTCTCTAATGTATTTGATAAGTTTTTTAGTGCCCCTACTTCAAAAGTCCCTCTAACATTTGATTGTCCTATCATGATCCTATTCCGCGCTTTATTCGTTTCCATATTTTCCTGACCACTGTGCCTGTGTAGACTCAGTTTTTTTTTCATTTTCTCTAGTTTTTCAGTACTATGGTTCCATTTCCACCATTCATCGTTTATACATATTTTCTGATAGCCGACTTTTGTTTCATTACCTTTTCCTTTTTCTTCTCTCGCCATATCTCTTAACTCTTTCTGTAGTTTGGTTTCGGCTTGGGTTAGATCGTTTTCAATGAAATACCGCGTTCCTCTTAATTTACTCTTATTCTTCATAATAAGTTCTTTATCCTTCATTGTATCTACTTTTACTATCACCACTGGTGGTTTCCCTTGAGAGGTTTTTATTTTCTGCACATATTTTATTTTTACATTCACATTCAATTGACTTGCTATAAAGTTGGTGATATCTTCCAGTTCCTCATTTTCTTTGAAATCGTGTCCTTTAATCACAATGTAATGTTTGTTTCCGAATTTGTTTATCCATCTTTTCGATCCTGCTTTCCAGGAAATTTACCTTTCCCTTCAACTCATGATTTTCTTTTTTTTAAATTGCGAATTTCTTCTTGAAAGATCTGCTGGTCTTTTCGTACTCCTTTAACTTCGTTCATAAGAGCGATCATTTCTTTCAATTCGGTATTATCACAATCTTTCTTAGGTGGAGACCTAGTTAACTTTCTGCTTTTCATGAGAGGGTTTTCATCTTGGTCGTCTTCTTTTTTTTTCCTCCCTCTTTCTCTTACCATCGTCAGATTCTTCACTATCCCATTGATTTAATCCTCTTCTCGCGGCCATGCTGTTAAAAATATTATAAATCTCTTACCTTATTCCGGACAGTGTTTTGACGTTATAATTCGCACTTACACGCCTATGTATTGTTTTGTAAATAATCACTAATTATTATCCTTATCGTGAAGGTTCTCCGTACTGCGCTACTCGCCTCTTCAACTGATCGGAGCTGTAGCACCGATTGTTTATTTAGGTTACTCGTTACGATCTTTAAAAGTTGTTGATGTAAAGAAAATATAAATTTTTTGACATATTTCAAATATGGTTCCATTATCTTTCCCATATTTCTGTATATTCTGGCTTTAACATCATTTATTGCATCACTCGATAAAATCTGAGTTAGGATTTCACCCTGTCTTATTCTATCTTTGGACAAACAGTCCACTTTTTCATTACCTATTATACCGACATGTTCTTTAGCGCACATAAATACCACTTTCACTTAGTATGAAGTAAAATCTGTGTTTTCAGTTGAAGATCTGGAGTCTGTTATTATTATAGCTTTTTTTTCTGTGCATTCTCGCTTTTAGTAATTTCCTGGGGATTTTGTTCTCATCTGAACCGCGTGTCCTGCCCACTGTAAATGCTGCAGCCTGGTCCTAGTGTACTCTGCTATTAGTGTTGGTTCTCTTTATTCTTGGTATATTACTTTATTACATCGAATTTGCCAATTGTTATTTTCATTGATTGGGCCCAGTATTCTCCGCAATATTTTTCTTTCGAACACGTCTAATATATTTGTGCATTATATTACGAGAATTTTGATTGCTATATATAATCTAAACAAATGCTTTAAAACTAAAAATGATAGTAATGAGTAAAACCAAATCCATGAGAGTAAATGCAAGAAACAACACGGTATTTACTATCAACAATATGCAGATTGAAAATGTGGAAAACTTTACGTATCTTGGAAGTGTCATAACAGAAAGCGGGGGTAGAGAGGACAATATTCGTATGAGAATACGAAAATCTCAACAAACATTCAGCATGCTCAACCCTGTTTGGAGATCTGGCGAGTATAATACAAGGACAAAGATCCGCATATTCCAGTCAAATGTTATGTCTGTTTTACTCTACGGATGTGAAACCTGAAAAGTGACAAAACCTTTTACAGATAAACTGCAGGTCTTTATTAATAAATGTCTACGACGAATTATTCGTTTTTTCTAGCCGAACATCATCAGAAACGAAGATCTACTACATCTGACCGAACAAAATAGGGTAAAACATCAAATAAAGTCCAGAAAGTGGGATTGGATTGGTCACACACTCAGAAAAAAATAATTCCAATATTGCAAAGATTGCCCTAGAGTGGAATCCCCAAAGGAAGAAGAAAAATAGGTCGCCTAGTACAAACTTGAAGAAGATCCATCATGGACGAGAAAAGAGGTCAAAGAAAGTCTTGTAATGAGGTCAAGGCCTTAGCGTAAAATAGAACCCGATGGCGCGTTTTCACTGAAGCTCTATTCTCCTCTACCACTTAGGAGTTAAAAAAACCTTATATTATATTATATTATTATGATGATAATACATAATCTTGCACAGTGTATATTTGTTTGTAATATGCGTACTACAAAAATTGCTACCTGCGTCCTGCAGGTTATCTGAGGTGTTGCGGAACCCACTGTAGCCATACTAGTGCTACGAAGAAGTCTTAATATTTAAGTTAAATGCGAGCTTCTCTTTATCTTTCTCAAAACTATCTACAATATATCATGCTCTAACATAAGTTTAACGAAACTCGAGCATTTATAGAAAACAGTCTTGTTAGAATTTAGAAAAACGACTGAAGGTGCTGCAATGACAACTCCCGCCATTGTCTTTCAGATAGTCACTTTGGTATTTCTAATATTATCGCAGAATGTTGCTAAGGAAGCGATTTTAAAAATCTCAGAAATCACTTGCTTGGATAAAAGAAATTCAATTACGACATGTAAACAAATTTTAAAAGATAATGGTTATACTAAATCGTGTACTTTCTGCTTAATTTAAAGTAATAAACTATTTACAATACACGTACTTAAAGGAAATCAGAAACATGTTATAAGATTTAGTTTAAATTCCTCACTAGTCGTAACGTCACAAGACCTGCTATAATAAATTGTTAAAACAAATATTGAACTGACACCATTCAATATTTTAAAGAAACTATTCTGTTCCTAAATTGTGAATTAGTTTTATAATCACAAATTGAGAGATGCTTTAACGTTAAAAATGAATCACCCTATACCTGTTTTGTAAATATAGGTATATTTGTTTTTACCATAAAGCAATTAGGCCGTTTATGGTTACCGACGTCTTGTTGTTGCATTCCTATGGTTAACAATACAAAAAAAAAGCAATAAATTTGCAAGTAATTTCGACAACTTGTTGACCTTGCCAAAATAACCCAATGTGTTAGGTAGGAATATCTATTTTTAAAACCATAAAAACAATAAATTACTAAAACCAACTTTTGGGAGGTACCTAGTCCCCTCCACAGTTTCTGTTTTAATATGAACTCCAATAATTTATTATATAAAAAAACTTTAAAAATATTCTTTTTTTAAGATCCTTATCATCTTTTGAATGCGGCAACGAGTCGATTGGTGGCGCAAGGCTCCGGTCAGATCCAACTATGGCAATTTCTGCTCGAGCTGCTCAACGATTCGTCGAATTCCGCGTGTATCACGTGGGAAGGCACCAATGGCGAATTCAAACTTACCGATCCCGACGAGGTAGCCCGGCGATGGGGAGAAAGAAAATCCAAACCGAATATGAACTATGACAAACTCAGTAGAGCTCTTAGGTAATTATTTAAATTAACACATCAAAAATATTAATCTAAAAAAGTGCCTTACCTATTCGTTTAATTTATAATAAGTAAGAAAATATTTTTTTTAATTAGAACATTATGTTAGGATTACAATAACCTTCAATTATGTATTTCTAACTAAATATTACTTATGAAAATAATATCTAATAAAAATAGATATTATGTACATTACTTTAACAAAAATCTAAAAAATTTTAAGGTATAAAATTAGTCTTTAATATACCTGCATAATATGAGGGTTGTACTGAATATTTCAAGTTGTAGTGGTAGTTTAACGTAGTCGCATTTTTAGCTTCCATTCCTTACTATTGAAATATAATTAAAATATTTTTAATTTTAAATTTTAATATTAATTGTAAATCTTCTGGCAGTATAGGAATATTTTAAAAATTGTGACGATCATAATTGAACCACCAATTAGAAGAAGGAAATAAATTCAAAAAGTAGATTTTCGAGAAATGGGAAAACAATAAAAACTGTTTATTCATTCTATTTAAGTTTTTCTTAAGTTAATATAAGTTAATTTTATATAAGTTAATTTGGATTGCAGAAAAACCATCCAGTGATTTTCGTTATCTAGAAAAACGATAAAGAAAATTTTAGATTTATTCCTATCTTACAACTTATATTTTTTTGACATGAATAAAGACACAAAATGTAAGGATGTTTTAGTAAAAATTTTTTTTATCTTGTAGAATATATGGAATTATTTTCCGAACTTCTTCTATCTTTTCCTCATTTATTGGTATTTTTGCCCTGTATGCTCTGTTAGTAGGCAATGAAAGGATCACCCCATTTTTTTAAGTAGAAACCTCTGTTTCAGGAAACCATCTATTTGTTGTGAAACTGTTACGTAGCCTTTATGGGAAGAAAAACATATATAATTTAGATATAATAAATGTAGACTTTTGTCCACCGACTTACAAGTTTTATGTAATAATTTTTCCAGGTTTTTTTAAAGTCGAATATGTCGTCTGAGGTTATTGTTGCTACCGAAAGTCCTCTTGTTTTGGCAGTAGAGATTATTAGATTGTATTCCTCTGGTACGTAAATCCTATCGTTTCTCCTGATAGTCTTTTTGCTGTTCCGAAATTTCGATCGCACTGTAAAAACGAATGTCCACGCACAGGAAACATGAGCATGAACCGCATCAGGGTATTGTTTCTATTCTGATTTCCGCAAGCGTCACTAAACACGTGAAGTTCGTTTATAGCAGGATCCATATTCTGAACTGTCTTCTAAATTAGGCTGCATACATCATCAGGTCCTCTTTTAGCTTATCCTTCATGGTACGTGTAAAAATCTGCACAATTTGTTTTGAAATCGTGGACACAAAACACGTAAAGCCATAGTTTTCTGAGATAGAACATTTCCTGCACTGGTATTTTTGAAAGAGGAAGGTTTTACATGTAGTCGAAATCAATAGATTTGACAATTTTCTTTTCTTTTCTTAATCTCAACACTTTTTGCTGCTTCAGGTAAAACTTTTTAGCTGGTCTCAGATGTACCAACTGCTATACGCTTAGCGTTTTCATTCAACGTTTGACTTGTTATTTTAACCTCAAGTTCTTCACAAGTTAAACAAACGTCAACCCATGGTCTTCCGAATCTGTAGCCATGGTTATCATTATAGTATTTTTTTAAAAACGATATTGGCATGTTCGGGATACTTTTTGCAAAAGAGTCACGCATTATCTTCACATTGAGGTTAGCATCCAAATATCTGGTGCTGTAATGAGATTATTTTAACGGAAATGATCGAATGTGATGATCGATCGCAAGAACTACATTGTTCTCTAAATTGTTGCCACGATATAACTGAATATCACGGTGATTCACCGGTAATTTTACTTCGACAATAAGAGAGGTCAGTCGAAAAATTGCTTTATGTTTTATACCATACAAGATTGAAAAAGCTTGCCTACATACCTTAACTCTGGCAGAATTTATTTGTATAAAATAACGAAAAGTATTGTCACAACTTTTGGGATTTCCATTTTTGGATCGTCTTCCAATAACTTTCGAGCAGTTTATGAGGCTCATAAGAAAAGTATCCTGTTCATTTTTTGGACGTCCACTATACATAGTTTGTAGAATCGGTTGCTTTTCTTCTAAACCAAACTTCTGTGTGCACCGTTTTTACATGTACACTCACTAACAGTATTTGATTTTGCCGGTACAATACGCCCTGTAGTTGAAGTAGTATAGGTTTCAACGTGTAAACGATGTAATTTTTGTACCTCGTGTTTGTATAAATGTTTATTTTGTACACCTTGTTTTCTCTGCACTGACTTTGCCAAATCGCATAAAATATTTATAATACTGCCCTCATTGCTATTACTATCACTAGTACTAGTCATTTTTCTGTTAAAAATATCAGCAAACAAAACAAGAACGAGACTAGATGTCAACAGCAACTGAATTGTAACTACTAGTTACAGCATGTCGCCGTAGGCCGCCAAAAAACACGTGACAAACAGATTCAACCATAAATTTGAAGAAAGAAATAATTCCGTGATTTATTTCCTTCTTAAAACTGTCGCACATTTCGTGTTGGAATATCTCTGTAACTTATATGGTGTTTCTTTCCTACTTAGCGCACAGATGGATCTTGCCTTAAAAGGTGCGTATTTTTGTTAAAAGTTGTTTCGCCATATTTTGGCGTTTATTACCTTATTCTAACCGGTGGTTCAATTTTGCTTTTCTAATCCTATTACAAACCACCGACAAATATAGTTCCTAATCGGAGTAAGGTGTGAAATCCTCAGAACGGAATTGTGCTATGTTGATGATCATTCTTTGTTTTGTCTGTTTTACTATCAGTTTGTATTTTTCTGTTTTATCTGTTTCTTTATCAATCATTTATTGTGTACCCTATTATGCATTACTTGATATTAATTTAATACTCTCTTAGTTTTTCTGGTGTCTGCTGTTAGGGCATATCCTTCTACTGGTTTATGCTGGTAATTGTATAAAATATTTACTATTTTTATATATATTATAATATTTTAATGGGAATAAGCAACAATTGAAAGTTAAAATAAATTTATTGTCGTTTCAATCTCCACTTTGCAAATCGTTCTCAAAATACAAACATTAATAAATTAAACAAATTTTGTTTTTGTTACTTGGTGAAAAATTCTTCTAATAATTTAATTTTATCTGACTCATTTATATTGACGATTAAGACATATTATACATTTTAAAGTAGACGACTTTAAAATGATATTGCCAATATTGCTGAGTTGCGTTTCTGGGACGACTTTATTGTAAAATAGTTCATTAGATTACAGGAAATCAACTTTAACTTAAGAATATCCGTCACAAAAAATCATAGCATGCGATTCGTTTTCAAAAAGATTACCACATGCCATGATGCGAGTAAAATTCTCCTGTTAGTAATTCCATAGTAAATCATGAGGAAAAACAAGGAAAAAAGTCTCATAATACTTATTTATTTATCAACTGTCAATCGCCCAATGTAAACATTATTGATAAATTACAGATTCTTAACGTAACCTGCTTAAATAAAATTTAAAAATTTTAATCATACGAAAAATAAAAGTAGGAACAGTAAATAACAAACACTAACAAAGAATGTACAAAACACAAGGACATCAAGCTATCACATATAGTTCTTGCTGAGCTTTAAATTCTTTTAGAATACTATAACAATCCAACCTTTGGGAATATTGATTAGCAAACCTTGGTGTTCTAGATGTGAAGGTATTATGTCCGTAGTTTGTGCGATGGGGTCTAACATAAAAGGGTTGATTTAGACTTGTTTGTCTACTGGGAACATGGAGATTAATTTTTCCAATAGTTGAGGAAACATAATAGAGTGCAGTATATTATAAAACATAGTGAGATTTTTGTGCATGCGTCGGATTTGGAGAGAAGTTATGTTGAGGGACGTTTCCATATTTGAATAGTTAATTTCTGCAATCCTCTGGTTTTATTTAAATGCAACAAATCTCAAGAATTTGTGTTGAACCCTCTCAATAGCTTGAATATGGATGTTACAGTGAGGAGAACAAACACATGAACAGTAATGTAGGTGGGGTCTCACAAGTGAACAATACAAAATTTTAATGGATGGGATATTTAGAAAGTCGTTAGCACAACGTTTGATAAACCAAAAGTTGATTTTGAGACAATAGATGAGATATGGGGGATGTCGGATAAGCTGGAATCGAACACAACACCTAGGTCTTTTATCTGAGATACAGAGTCTAAAGGGCAACCATTAATAGTATAGATATAATTTGTAGGTGTTTTATTCCCACCAAAATCCATTAAATGAAACTTTTTAACATTAAGTTCCATTCCGTTGCTGTCACAAGAAAAACCTCAACCGATCCAAACCAGACCGTAGTTTTTGATAGTCACCATCATTATTAATTTTTAAATATAATTTTAGTCAGCAAACATTAGGAAAGTAGCAAAGAGGAAACAGGAGGCAATGTCATTATACTATATGACATGGCAGGAATCATTAAATCCTTATACGATAAAGCCAAAATTGCTTGTTCTAACAAAAATTAGTTCTTAGAGGAAAAACATTTGTTAACATCTGTTTTATTAAAAAATGATTATCCTTTATCTTTTATAAATGGGGAAGTTTCAACAATCAACCGAATAGAACGAAATAACTTAGAACAAGATCCTACAGCATACACAAGGAATAATACGACCAAAATAACAATACCATTATATAAAAGGATTATAAGAAAAACTAAAAAAGATTGGATATAAGTTCAACATTTCAACAACATTCAAAACAACAAACATATCGCCGTCTATTTTATCTAAAACTAAACCTCACAATGAACAAGAAAGAACAAAAAATTGTATTTATAAAATACTTTGTGAACGCTATCATTTTTATTTAGGTGAAATATCAAGACGATTAAATGTTAGAATAAGTGAACATCAATCTTGCATTAAAAATAAAGCATTTGATAGATTTCAAATATATAAACACGCATGAGAAAATGAACATAGGGTTCAATCGAATGATTCAAGTATAGTACTAAAAGAAACAGATGATAAAAAGAGAGCAATCAAAGAAGCGGCTCTAATTATGCTAAATGAGATCAATTATGTAGCAAATTTCTCGGCAGAGTGCAGTAGGATCAGGATCTGGTTACCAATATTAAAAGAGGAAGTTAATAAAAAGAATAGCGCTATTAGTAAGTCAGTAACATATCGACGATACATCATTTATGTTTTTTAAATAACAAGCATATAAAATTAGAATTTGGTGTTTATTGAGAGTAAACTAAATGTCGGACCAAATACTTATTGTTTTCCTGGTTTTTTCCTCATGAGTTACTATGGAATCACTATCAGGAGAATTTTACTGTTTTCATTACACGTGGTTGTCTTTTCAAAGACGAATTACATGCTATGCTTTTTTCTGACGGATATTCTCAAGTTAAAGTTAATTTTATGTAATCAAATGAACTATCTTACAATAAAGTCGTCCCAGGAACGCAATTTAGCAATATTAGGAATATAAGTCGTCTACTTTAAAAAGTATAATATATAGCATTTTTCATATAAAAAAGCTTGCACGTCATTTAAGATTTACATCGTCAGAACCCCACAGCGTTGCCAAAACATCAGAATAGTTAGTAAGTGAGGAAGTTTTAAAATGTCAACTATTTGTCACACTATTACATTAACAGTAAATACACTTAGTTTTAAGACTACTGCAACACATTAAAATACATAAGAAAACATTTTAATACAAAATTATATATTCTAAATTTTAAACTTACCTCTTTTAGGGCTTTAATATTAAAAACGTCCCTCCATTATTTCTTGTTCAAAATAATCTAGCTTATCAGCCTTCTACACACTATTTATTTGTTTTGGCATATCACAATAAAGCTATTAATCTAAATTTAATATGTATTTATAAATACAATTTATTAATATATATTATATTATGATCAAATTGTGTAAGAAATCAAAACATAAATAAAATTCCTACTCTAAAAAAGCGGCAACACTGTATACACTTTTGCCACACACTTAACTGTCAATAAAATTTGAAGTATTTCCGTATCAGTTGCGTACAATTGTCTAATATATTTAATTAAAATTATTATTTTGTAGAATATTAGACTTAAAGAGTCATTTCATAAAATTTATATTATTAATAATAACAAATGTTTTTGGATATTTTTTTGGATAACATTTTTCTGATTATTGCACCATGTTGACGCCTATGAAAGATCGAGCAGTTCCGTATGGGTTTTGTATTGTTAGCTGTGTTAGGAAAATTTGAACTTTAAGGTTGATGTTCTGGAAATTTTAAATACAAGTGACGTCACATTGTATAAATCGTGACGTGCAAGTGTTTTACTAGAAAAATGGTATAGGCAATTTTCTCTTAATGTACCTGTTCCTTTACATCCCCTTAATGTAAGTTCTTCTAAAAGCACCAACAGGGTAAAATTGTTGTCACAATATATATCATAGGATAATTTGGAAGCCTTGTCTTCTAGGGCATCAACAAATTGTAAGACAACACTAGGTCCCAAACCAAGAAGTTTATATTTATCGTGAATAGTGGATGAAGATCCCTGATATGGATCAAACCACTCCACATGACAGCTCTGAGAGTGTTCTTCTTGTGGTGCTAAATCGATAAATTTTTGATTCATTACCTCAATCAGAGGTCAAATCTTTGAAAATTTGTCCTGTGTATCCAATTTTGCATTATCACAGCAATGAATATTCTGTATGATAAATCTGAAACTGTATAATATCGCCTTCACGGTTTTGTAAATTGGCGTACATATATGAAAATTCAACAAGCATCTGAATAACTGTATCATCAAAAAATAGGAAAGAAGTATTTACTGGGAAAATGATGTTTTTTAAACCTTATTATGCTCCAAATTGAAATATTGCTATGTATATCTCTCTTGGTCCATCGATAGTTTTTGTAGCGTTTGCTCTTCTGTTCTTTCACATTTACTGTAAGAGCTTCTTGCTTTTTAGACTTTAACGTATTTTTTTTAGAGTGCGGCAAAGGCATGTCGTCTTCATATTCATTGATATCGGATTTGGTATGAGTTTTTCGATTATTTATCGTAGTTGTTTTCCTGGCAAGTTACTCATTTCAACGGCCTATTCATCACCGCTATCCTCGTCAGTCTCTTCCCCATCTTTGGGTGGAAAAATATTTATGTCCATGTTTATGTTTAAGAACACCAAACTTTGATAACCAATATACAAAAATAATAATAGTTATATAATAATCTATTATATAACTTTTTACATATAATATTAAAGGCATTTTAATAATATAAATAAAATATCTTTGAAAATAAAGGATTTATCTTCAATATTTTATATTCATCTTTTGTCAGTCAAGTTTGGAAACTATAAACTTTCAGTCTTTCAGTCTTTCAGGTAACCCCAAAAATTCTGCCGAAATCACCAGATTTCAGATTTATACAACCATTGTTAATTGTTTTTAATAAAATGGCTTTTTGTTACACGAAACACCACGCGCCATCTCGTAATAACTAACAATATAATAACATTACATGCATATTTAACCAGGTCGTTTCAAATAACGGTGGCCTTAAATGGGTTAATTTCTTTATTATACGATCAATCGTGAAAATTTTGAATCTCACTGAAAATGTGCTAATAAAAGCCATTGTTTTTATTTTGTGACATTTTTATTTTGTTTTCACGTTCTATAGAAATGTATACTGTATGATATATTTCTTTTTGTAATTTATTTTTAGTCGCTCCTGCATTTCATATCTTGTCTGCATAACAGATTTTAAGATTTTAAAATTGCAATTAACATTTTAAAATTATAAGTATTTTACAATTTTTTAACTTTTAGTGACGTTGTCGATTATTATTTAATTCGAATTATCCCATATATCAGTTAGGGCACTATCCAGTTCTTATTTTTTTGCACAGCTGGAATTCGCAACGGGAGTCTTCTTCTGTAATCAATTAGGTACTTAGTTGTTATACAAAGGTCCCTGCTGGCTACTAGATCTACCTGTTTTTACTCTCACAGCTAATATTTTGAATGGTTTATGTACAATATCGTCCATATGATTAATCCACCTTTAATTTTTATTTTCAATAATATCATAATTTCAATAATATCATAAAAAAGAATGCGATATAATAAATTGTTGACAACTACCTTTGTATAAGTGTTGGAATCCCATAATATTTAGTACAGTTTTCATTTAGTCGTTTATTAATAATATCTTCAGTATCTCTCTCCAATGGCGCTACAGTCCTACAAGTCGGGTCCTGGCCTCCCCAGCATCCGCCTCCAAGCATCCCTTTCCTGCTCTACTCCAGTTATCTACCCTTAATATATCTTTAGCATCGGTTCTCACTTCGTCTATCCACCGCGTCCTTGGTGATCCTATTGTCATGGTACGTTGGTGGTTCAATATATAACATATTGAACATCTAAAAACGTATATATGTTTTAACATTGGTATACTGAATTCTATTTAAAACCACTCGTAGGCAATGTGATCGTGGCTTATATTTAAATATAATTCCTTTCTTTTAATTATACTTCATATTATTTATTTTACTTTTTATAATTTTAGGTATTACTACGATAAAAACATTATGTCAAAAGTTCATGGCAAACGGTACGCCTATAAGTTCGACTTCCAGGGACTGATGGCTGCGTGTCAAGCTCAAGCTCAGGGACAAGGAGACGTTCTACCAACCTACCAAAAGTACCAACCTCACCAAAGTGAATTAGGAGCTGCTCTCTACCCTACAGGGCATACTGTTAATCATAGGTTACCAAATATCTTACCAGGAACTACGCAACATTCCCAAACAGCTCTTTTCCCACCACCTACCTACTGGCCGTATTCTCCCGCAAACTTTGATCCAAGGGGTGCTCCTTTTAATTAAAAACTATTGTATAGTGTCGTTATTTCAAATTTGCTTTGAATGCATTTTCGTAATGTGGATATCAGAAATTGGTATAAAATGATAAAAATATACCTAATGAAAATTATTTTTTTTTAATATTTAGTTCTATAAACAATCGGTAACAGGTTAAAAATTAATCCAAAAAATTATAAAGAGCTAATACTAAACTATTAACTGATTTGATAGAAGACAAACTGAAAGCAAATTTTACTTAATAAAATCTACAAGACTTCAGAAGAAGCTAACGGGCTGATGACAACATTATTAAATTGATTTATTTAAAATAATCACGTATAAGCCGGTAGATGGTCAACTTTCCAATTATGCTCGTACCGTCTAAGCATCCAATGTAAAATTGACACTTTTGCAATATTTTGGTAATAAAGTAGGTAGTTTAAATGCGTTTATCACAATTATTTTTTCGTTTAAATCGTTGACCAAATATCGGAACAGTGTTTCTAAATAGTTCTAACTAAGCAACAATATTCTAATCTTGTTGAATTAATGGAGAAATACTTGCAATTCCTAGTAATGAAACCAAGAAGTTTGGATGCCTTTATTCAGTTTACCGAAAGTAAGCTTCTCATCAAATATAACACCCAAATCCCGAACAGAAGAAACATAATTCAGTGCCTGATTATTAATAGTATAGCTTTCTTCAATTCTATTGACTTAAAGAGAAACTTGTAAAGCAACATTTTTTTACATTGTGGAGTTGTTCTGGCTTCAGGCTTGATCTTTTAAGCTATCTATAACTTTCCAAAATTTCAAGTCATCTGCTAACATTAGACATTTGCTATTTAGGAAACAAGAAGTGATGTCGTTAACGAAGATATTAAAACAAGTGGAAAAGTGTGGCCTCCTTGAGAAACTCCAGATGTTACTGTGATACTGTTAGACAGATGACAAAATGACAACCTATCTTGACTCTTTGACTTCTCCCAGATGTAGAGTTTTTAATCCATCCTACAAACCGGACATGAAAACCTACATTAATTAATTTGCTCAAAAGTATTTGGTGATCTACACGACCAAATGCTTTGGAAAAATCTGTGTATACTGCATCTACCTATTTACGGTCTTCCATATGAGATAATATATCAGATTGATAGCAAATCAAGTGTGTTGAAGTGGATGTTTTGCTATGAAAACCATAGTATGATTGAGATTTTAAGCATTTACATAACCAAGAAAGTTGCTTTGCTATAATACTGTCGAAGAGGTTAGGGATTGCATATTGTATACAAATACTATAATTTTCAATATTGTCTTTCTGGCCATTTTTAAATATAGGAACAACATAACTTTCTTTCCATGAAGAAAGAAACTCAGAGGTTTCCAGAGATCTATTAAACAATATAACAAATGGTATTACAAGGGTGCAGACACACTTTTTTAATAAAAAATTAGACACTCCATCTGAACCAGCAGTAAGCTTATTGAGCAGCTCATTTATGCCATTAAAAATATCGGTAATGGTAATCTTAGAAGGACAAATATTTCTACTAAAGTTGCTATTTAATGGATGCATAGGTATGTAAAGGTTGTTGTTATTTAGTGAATACACAGTTTGGAAGAAGTTCATAAACAAATTAGCTACGTCTTGACCATCTCTTGAAGATTGAACTTGATAAAATCAGGAGTTAAGTAGGTTATGACTAGATCGCTTATCATTGATGTACGTCCAAAATCATTTTGGATCATTTCTTAGGCCAGTATTTATACCTTTAATATAGTTGCTGAAGCAAATTTCAGACAGTTGTTTACATTCAGCTCTTAGGTGGGAAAATCTAATATATTCATCATCAGTACGATTATTAACATAAATATAGTGAACATATTTTTTCTCCAGAGTCAGTCTTCTAAGATCAGCAGAGAAACACTTGAGAAAAGTTGAAGTTCTATATTTCTTCAATGGCACAAAGTAAGCAATTCTTATAGAGAGAACTTCATAAAATAATTTTGTATCAACTTCAACATCATTAACTATACGTACCTGCCAGTCTATGGAAGCAAGGAAGTTGTTAAGCGCAATATAATCACCATCCCGAAAATCATAAACCAACTTATTTCTATTTGTTTCTTTCACATCGAGGTTTAAGCAACATTTATAACCCACATTATGGATGCTAGGATCTACAAGGAGATCACTTGCTTTTAAGATATTAAGCTCCCTAACATTAGAAAAAACTAATTCCAAAAATACATTATGATTATTGGGAATATTATTATGTTGATACAATTTTTAAAAACTAAAGGCTTGAGCAATATTCACAGTTGGATCACCTGCAGGACAATGCATCATTGTACCAAACTCATCATTCTCCTATGATGCATTCGGAAGATTGTAATCATTAAAAACATAGATATCCTGTGCTGAGTATTGCGGAACAACATTTTCCACAGTTTGACAATGCCAGTTGTATATTTCACGAGGTGATTGTGGAGATCTATCACATCTGTAGCTACTAAAACCATCACATTTAATTTCACAATCAGTTATGTTATTATTCAAGTTACTCTCTACTAAAATAATTATATAGTACAAGCCGCAGGAAATACTTTTCAGGATCTCGGAAATCTTTGTACGAGTGCCTCCAACATTTTGATAAAAATCTGTTAATGGGAAGGATAGGTACCTACTAGTTTTTTGGAGTTCAACTTTACAAACTGTTTTCCATTCTTATCGGGTCCATAATTCTTTTGAGGATTTTCCTTTCGAATACTCTTAATTTTTCTTACCTTCATGTGTAAAGTACATTGTCTCAGCTGCTTATATAACTACTGGTCTGATTCCAACTCTGTATATTATGAGTTGTATTTCTGGATAAGTTCTAGTCCTTTATTAGCTTATAGTATCTCCAGAATGTCTTGTTGTCTGCTAGTATTTGCTCTGTTACTTCTTCACTTCTCTTATTATTGCAATTTTTAATTACTCTTTAGTATTTGAATTTTTGAACTCTTTTTAAAAGTGTAGTTTTCTATTTTAATTTCTCTTATTATTTTCTCTTTTAATAATAGATGAGATATTATATTTTTCCTTCGTTAATTTCTAGACCCATTTTCCGTGATTCATTTGCTTGGACTCTAAATGCTTCGTTTATTTTTTCCTTTACTTCTTCCCATAAGACCTATTTCATCTGCTTATGCTATTATTTGTGGTTAAGAGTGGGCTATAGTTCGTTTAATTCCAGTGGCCTTGACTGGTTCTTCTACTACTAGGTTATCAATACTACAAAGTACACAAACTCTCCCAGCTTGCACCAAAAACTTTAGTACCAATTCAAATCAACAGACAAATCCCTGAGGCATATGACGACTACAAATAGCGTCAATAATCTAGGAAGATCATAAATGAGAAATAGGAACAAAGGCATCTCCTTTGATTATGTCTTGCCCAGTTGCAAACTAAAAATTACACACAAAAAATTCCACATCACGGCCTATAAATCCAATCCAATAACAATGTCTCTTGTCATTGAAGGTTGTTTTTCTATTTGCTTTTTCAGTCTCAGTAAAGTGCAGTAAAAAGATATTATAATTCGATGAAAGTTTCTATCTTTAGACTGTCGTGGTTTCGGGAAAGTTTATTTAATGGATGCATCTTTGCTCGTTATGTTTTACAATTTACGAACGTGCAATTGTTCACTTATTCTTATAAGAGAGTTGCAAATGGATGTTTTACAATTATGTACCTATGTCTATATATTATAGTATATTATATATAAACATGTACGAATAATTGGAAAATATAATACAATATTATTCTATTAAGACTAGAACTGATGAATATCGAGTTGCAATTAAGTATCAATCAACTGAATCAAGAACCCTTTACCTTTTTCTGGTATCTACCATTTGGAAAATATGTTAATATTTTATAAATTCAGAACATAATGTTCTTGTGTTAATTTTAATGCTTATTTGTACAAATCAACGTTACTACTTAAGTAAGGTAATAATAATGTATAGAACTAAATAAATAAGTTGACAAAGTTGTTTCTTTTATTTATAGGTTTACCAAACACTAACCAGTCTTCATGTTTTAAAAAGGGCAAGTTTCTTTTGTCAAAAAGGGCAAAATCAGTAAAGACCAAGTGTGGTTTAAGGCAGTTATATCATGCATAGACCCTAATTATTACATTCTAGAACAATTTTGTTATTCTAGTAGACTAAAACAGCAAGCTTTGAGAGATAACGAGCTCAGAGGAAAAGTATTTATTATAGACAATTCTTGTAAACAATCTTTGCCGCCGTCCTCAATAATGTTTCTTGTTCTTTTTTAAGACACCCTGTACATTTTTCATGTATAGGGTGTTCCAAGAAGTTTTTAACAGCCTATAATTCAGGAAATAATAAATATTTTAATTTGAAAATTGGAAAATGTTAATTGGACCTACAATACTATCAATTGATGTATAAATGAGACCCATGACATCATCACGAGTGCTGTGACGTGATTCAACATACTGATTTTTCTTTATTTATTTGTAGGCCCATACTTTTTAAGAATTTGAGAAGAGATGTACATTTCTTTTGACTTGCTGTTAAACGAACAAAAAGGTCTAGTTCATCTACAATAATTTGTGAGAATTTGTTAAGAATTGTTCCTTTGTTGTCTATTCTGGCGTCTCTAACAGCCTCTTCCGAGACTATGTTGAAAAGGAACATCAGAGCACCTTCCTTATATACCAAGGTGCATTCAATATCGATTTTAGCAATTTATATTGGATTGTTTTTATGATATTCATCCAATATGAGGTGGCAGATGAAATATGTTACCTAGTCTTGGAAGACGACAAAATCAAAGGCGTGCAATCCTGCAAATATTTGGGGGTCATTTTTAACAAGAAGAGAAATAGCGCAGATGAAATCAAGGAAAGAATAAACAAGGGTAGAGCAGTGACCCGTACCTTAAACTCTCTTCTCTCTTAAATTCGATGAGAAACCAAAAAACACATTTACGGTAGTATAGTCTAAAGTATTACACTTTATGGTCCGGAAGTATGGGAGGTCACTAAAGCAAATAGAAACAAACTTATGACGACAGAAATGGATTATCTGGGACGAAGCTGCGGTAGATCGAAACGAGAGAAATATAAACGAACAAACAAGAAACAAAATGAAAATGGAGCGAAATATCAATTATGACATAGAAAGAAAACTATGAGCTAGATGGCCAAGAAGAGTACTGGAATGGATCCATCCTGAAAGAAGAAAGAGAGGACGACTACGGAGAAGTTGGCGGAATGATATTGATGAAGCAATGCCGGCAAGAGACTTAGAAGAGGCAACTGCATATGACAGAAAAGGATGGAAATTGGGGGCGGCGACAGCCGTAATCAATCTGTTATTATATTATATATATATATATATATATATATATATATATATATATATATATA